TTTCAGATCAACTCCGTCTTCTCATTGTTCTATCGAGATATTATAATAATTTTAATAGATGAAATCATCAGTCAATTGAAGCTAGATCACTATGAAGAACCTGTAAACATTGAACGACCGTTTTGTCCTAGTATGGAACTCATAAGTAGCGTGTATCCACCTTCATCCCATTTCGCCAGGACCTATCAGTCTCGCACATGAGCGTTTAATCATTAGATTGGTTAAAGTTAGACATTAACTCAGTGTTCTGAGAATTAAGTGTTTGAAGGCAAAACCAAAGGTCCTGAGTTCGAGTCGTGATCCTGGAGTTGTTGATGCTCACTATTAAAGTCCTATACTATGAATGAAACAGTTGTTCAATGTTCCTAGGGTTCAATATGTTTAAACATATGATGATAATAATAGTTCTAACTATACAACTACACGTTTGTTAATGTAACAAACGTTCGTTTATTTATAAAATCTATCGAGAAAATCTCATTAGTAGTTTTGCTTAACTTAGAATAGATAAACTACTGTGTATGGACTTGAACTGACAAGAGGCACTACAAAGTCGAAATATACTGGGAAAAAAAGATCTAATATATAACACATTTTCTTGTTCAATGAGAACAATGAATGAATACTACACTTAGACTAAACAAGATGTAAACTCCATAGATGATAAGTGTTGAAAGGAAAACTATTCTTACAGACTAATGATACTAGCTGGTCATCAGTTCTAAATATTATCATCACTAATCCAGCTGAATATGAGGATCTTCAGAACTTTTCATCATATATTCATCTTTCTACTTGTAAGTAGTAGTTTATTAGTATTAGGAAAATGTTTATTATTATATTTATAACTATATTTGGTCATTAACTCTAGTCAACCGATTCTCTTCGAAAATAGTTTAATATCAGTATGGAGTTATTGAAATTGTTGTGATTGTTGATGCGATCAATATTAGATCACAATTGAAAACCTGGGGTCACTGGACGGCCATTTTGTCTTAGTAAGGCAGTTACCCATCAAAGATAATAAAAGATGGTTACTCAATTTCGTGGATTTGTTGAAGGTAGTCTAGATTTTAAACTTTCGCATGTAAGACCGAAGGTTCTGTGTTCGAATCCAATGTGTGGAATCGTGGATATGCATTGCTTAGGATTCTCATACTAGCATGAAACAACCATCCAGTGCTTCAAGGTTTTCATTGTTGATCTAACATTGATCGATTCATGATCTCAATCATAAAATGGATTCATAATTGTAAATTGTGTGATATAATAGTTAAAAAAATCTCCCTTACATCAATCAAATTACGATTTTTTTAAATGTAGAGGATTGTGGAGAATATCAGTGAATTGTTCAGGTTTACTTAAATACAATACCATCTACCATATCATTACTTGTAACTAAATTCGTGTGGTAATTCCTGATATTCCAATTATAAGTTATGATTTATTGATGTTTACTATGTTGGGAGTAAAACAAATATGATCGGTGTTGATGTATTTATTTATTTATTTTAACACCATTTGATCCCGCAGGATACCATGTGCACCATTGGTTTGAAATCCGGTTAAAGCGCCGGACATTCACTTTTCATCCTCCCATTTTCGTAAACAACAACCCCGCCACGATAAGACAGTGAGTAGGATTTCCTTGGCAGAGGCTATATATGCGTGGCCATGTGAGAGTATTTCGAGAGGGAAAGCGGACTCTCCACACTCTCGGCCAAAACAGGGCATTTGGGGGCTGATGGACGGGCTTTGGACAATATCATGAATAACTAATAAAATTTAAGGCATAAAATGCCAATTCACTTCTTTCAACGATAAGCATTGGCCTCGTGGCCTGAATTTCCTGAGTTAGATACTTGACCTCTAGGCGATTAATTCGACTACCCAATCATTTTTAATGTCTCACTTTAATCAATCCACGACATTAAGCGACCATCTTCCACTGTCTTCAGTATGTAACTGCCTTACATTCGACATGGTTAAACTACATTGGTCACAGCTTGTCACTAGAACTTGGAAAATTTACTCTTGAAACAAATCATCAATATAGAATTGTGGAGATTGTTCAATTGTAGTTGAGTCCCATACTAAGACGAAACGGTTATTCAATGCTTTCAAATTTTTAATGGTGATCTAACATTGATCGATGTTCATGATCTCAACAATTTCCACAACCTCATACAAATAACCGATTATTATTTATTCATAGTATCCATGTATAGAATGATGTATATTATATGACAAAGTTGAAACACACTTCTTACCTAATTGTTTCTTCACCTCTCTCTCTCTTTCGCTCTTTCTTTCTCTCTTTGTAAGATGAATTTTCACTATTTTGGTTATGTAATATGTACAATTAACTTGGGACAAGAGAAAAACTAAGTATGCCAATTATAAATAACACTACTTTTAACTATATTACTTAGAAAAACCAACAATGTGTAATTACATATCATGTATACCATTCAGATTACCTAGGCTATTTTGTTGCTATGCTAAAAAATAAACATTGAAATCATTTAATATTACGTTATTTAGTTGAATAGGATAGGTGACACGTGACTTGTATGTGTATACGTTTCATATTGTCATTGTCATGTTGATAACACTCATTATTGGAGTGGTTTCACAATTGTTACTTCTATATCCTTTCTTTTTCTGTTGCTATGCTATATTAATAGAAGAAGTCTAATATGAAGTCATTTTGGAGTTGTATTATAATGAGTAGTAATAATTGATCATTTAGATAATTGTTATGATGGAATGAATATTGAAATTGGTTTGTTGAATTATGAGCCCCGGGTGGTGCGGGGTCGTGGATGCGCACTGCTGAGGAGTCCCATACTAGGACGAAACGGCCGTCCAGTGCTTCCAGGTTTTCAATGGTGGTCTAGCTTCAACTGACTCATGAGTTCAGTCTGTGATAATTTTAATGGTTAAATTCAAGAGTCTATCAATCTCTAGTGTTCTCACACAAGATCAAAGGTCTTGGGTTCGAGTCTTATATGCGGGATTGTGAATGCTTCCAAAGTTTTCTATGATGGTCTATGAAGTTTACTACAATTTTTACAAATCCCTATTCTGATAATTTTATTGTATAATTATTGAATAACTAGATTACTATGTCTATGTATTGGATAAAGCACCAACTACTGTCATACAACTTGATTTCTTCGAATTTGTAGTGAATTCACAGCCACAGCCTGTTTACTTATAGTTGGTAATCTTCAGTTTATGGTGTGATTCAGAATGATATTGTCTATGTATAAACCACATCTGTTTGAAGTATAGGGATAGTAGAGTTATCACAATTGATTGATCACTGGGTGGTGATCAGTGTCATGCTTGTCTAGTCCTTATTAGTGCGGATCGAATGCTATCGATCATGTTGCAATGTGGCAACCAGTCTAGGTGACTCGACACTGCGTGCACTATATATTGAGATTTGGATGGTGGTTGGAGGTAGTCGACAGGAAATCTTGGACCCTGGTTTCGTGCTACTTGGTACTCGTCATCAAGGTGTACCTGTAATCTTGAGGGAACTGGCGCTTCCACCTAGTGATCAATCAATTACGATTACATCTCAGTCCTACAGGAGGTTAGTCGCTGCTCGGATATCCCAGTGGTAACGTCTCTGACTGTGAAGCTGGGTGACACGGTATCGAATCCACCAGGGAGCACCAGTTCCCTCAAGATTACAGGTACACCTTGCTGACGAGTGCCAAGTAGCAAGAAACTCGGGTCCAGGGTTTCCTGTTGACTACCTCCAACCACCATCTAAATAGTTGAGTTATGTTTTTCTATTTCTGGAAGGAGCTTGAGCATAATAGACCCATAGGAGGTTAGTTATCAACTCATGATCAATAGTGCATGTAATTATTCAACTTGAGGATACTACTTTGTCAAGGCAATGATAGATAAGAAATAAACCAAATCAGAATTATGATTCTGTATAGCGACTTGATAATATGATGTTGGTCAGCAGTTTCAAGACATAACAAGAATAATAATAAGTCAGATTATTTACAGAATGATTACACTTAAAGTATCGTTAAAAGTCAAAGAGTACATCTCAGCAAGCCGCACACACACACATATACACACATCTTCATTAGATCAACACAGATTGTACTCAGGACTTTCAAGTTATGGAGAGATGACTGAATTGTCAAAATCACTGTCGATGTCCAATGGTACAATCTTAACCTTAATCAACATACTGCATAACATGATGATCATCTATATGAGATTATCAACATTTAAAAGAAATTATAAATTAATCGTTTATCAGTATATCAGTTATCCTAAGGTATTCTACATTCAATCATTAAGTTACATGTTTCGGACTCTATTGAATGTACTTTGATGTAGTCAATCAAATAGTATCCTTAGTAGCTCAAAGCCAAGTATATAAATTTATACTTTGTAAATGAATTGAATAGATAAGAATCAAATCAAGTTCACTGTTATTCTTAGAATGAAAGAGATTATGGTTTCGGACTATGAACGTCAGTTGTCATATATATATTCAACTTTCTAAAGCATTTACTTATAGGTTTGAACTCCATTCTGTTTAAAATTGAATTTAAGTAATTTAATTGAGTAGTATATAACCATGGAAAACCTAGAAGTACTGGACATCCGTTTTGTCCTAGAATGGGACTCATCAGAACCTATAGTGAGATAGTAACTCACTAATGACAATGGTGGATATGTCGCTCAATATCATGGATTAGTTGAAGTTAGACAGTTGCACCGTTAGATTCTGACAGACTCAGTGTTCTAGAGATTAAGCATTTGTGCGTGAGATCGATGCTCCTGGATTCGAGTCTCACGAGCGATATGATGGATGTATACTGTTGAGGAATCCCACAATACGACCAAACAGCCATCCAGTATTTCCAGGTTTTCCATATTGATCTAGCTTCGATTAACTCATGATTTCAAGTATTAAATTTACTATGATATTCACAAAACCCCTCTCTTTTGCATAGATACAACCGATTGGACAAAATTGAAATGTATCCATCAACCATTACAACAAAATCAATCAGATTATTTGAATCATAATGAAGATAATCATCATTTAAAGAATCAAATAGAATTGAATTCCTATGAAAATGATCATCATCATCATCATCGAAATACAATAAGTCCAATTGAATTAGTTTATGATCAAATGAAATCCTTAATCAATGGTACATTAACACATGATAGTGGAATAGGAAATTCAGAACATATTGAACAATTAAACAAAGAGACTACTACTGCTACTACTACTACAACTACAACCACTACTAATACTACTGAAATAATACATTCAAGTAGTATAACTAGTGATGATAATATTAATCATAAAGATGATGATGCATTAGATTTAACTGTAAACAAATTATTTACTAAAAATACTTTGAATCAAGAACATTTCCTATTTGATAATGGAAAACATCAACAATCTATTGAAGATAGTCAATTGTATGAATCGTATATTAAGGGTATAACAATGAATCAATTAATGGAATTTCTACCACCTTCATCTTCATCAGAATGTTATAATTTAACTTTAAAAACAACACCGACAACAACAACAACAACATCACCCACTATTCCACTTCTTCCATCTACATCGAGTAATGTCATGAATAGTTGCGATGGGAAACTAACAAAAGCTGTTAATGATAGTAATTTCTGTCCATATTCTCAAATATCATCTTTATATGGAACATCATATCAACCATTCGAATTAACAAAGAATTCATCAACATCATCATCATCATCGGTAGATTTATTCACTGCAGCAGCAGCAGCTTATGCAGCGGCGGCGGCGGCCGCTGCTGCTGCTTCCTTAGTTCAACCAACAATATCATCCAACATTACCACTATTCCAACAACAACAACAACAACAACAACAACCATGATGCATTCACCAATGCTATCAACTAATGATCATGATCATCATACATTCATGTTAACAACAATGATGAAAGAAAGATCATCAACCTATTCAAATACATTAGAACAAATGAATCATAGATTATTAACATTACCAATGAATCATAATGGTACATCAATGATACCACAAACCTTATTAACATTGTTTACAAATTCAAATTATAATTGGCCGCCAAAATCATCAACCCCTGTATCGAATAGTAATAATAATAATAATAATAATAATGAATTAAGGTATAAACATCGTTTACAATATCAATTACCTCCTGGATCATTTATAAATCAACCTTATTCAGAGAATCAATCCATTATGCAAATGGATGATGAATATTTAATGAATGAAGAAAGTCCCAATGAATTCAATCAATTCAAACCATCACCTACAATAGACTATGGTCATTATGAACAGAAACTGAATCTTCATAATGATAATCATGATGATGATAATGATCATGATGATGATGATGGTGATTATGATGAAGATTGTTTAACCATACAAAGACAACAACATATATCATCAACAATGATAACGACTACTACAACAACAACAACAACTACTACTACTACTACACGAACATCAACTACCACAACATCATCATCATCATCACGTCCATCTGAAGATTATTTAGAACAATTTATGAAAATTGATCAATCACAAAATATATTATGGCGTCAATTAGCTGATCGATTTCAACGTACACTTGGTCCAAATCAATGTGGTGTTTGTAATAAAGTACTTAGTTGTCGTAGTGCATTAACAATGCATTATCGTGTACATACAGGTAAGTAAATCAATCATATACTCTCTATCCTGGAGATTTTCACAAGTTAAACTCTATAGATGTCACATTACTTACTTACTTACTTACTTACTTACTTACTTACTTACTTACTTACTTACTTACTTACTTACTTACTTACTTACTTACTTACTTACTTACTTACTTACTTACTTACTTACTTACTTACTTACTTACTTACTTACTTACTTACTTACTTACTTACTTACTTACTTACTTACTTACTTACTTACTTACTTACTTACTTACTTACTTACTTACTTACTTACTTACTTACTTACTTACTTACTTACTTACGCACGCTTGTTACTCTCAATGGAGCTTAGGCTGCCGATCAACATTCTCCAATCCACAATATCCTGAGCCTTCCTTTCCGGTTCTATCCAATTGTTACTCATTTTCCTATATTCACTGATCCAAATACTGGATCATTTGTCTGAGGCTCAATGATATTTCACTGGCCCTACACAAATCCACTACTATTAGTAACGAGGTCATAGATAATCACCGCTAAGGAGTCCTATATTTATCTCATTTAACTATCCAATACTTCTTATCACTTCAAAAGAAATCACTTCATGATAAATGTCACTTACAAATGAAAATAATTATTATTACTATCAGAAGGAGTTTTATGAAGATTTGAGTAATTTTATAGTTGAATTATTCATGAGTCAATTAAAGCTAGACCACTATCGAAAACCTCGAAGCACTGGATGGCCGTTTCGTCCTAGTATGAGATTAGACCACTAAGCTGACATCCAATGGTGTTAATGTCTGGGGGTTAAGTGTTCACGCATGTGAGACTGATAAATCCTAGGATCGGATCTCACGTGGTAAGATCGTGGATATGCACTGTTGAAGAGTCTCATACTACGATGGAACGGGTATCCAATGTTTCCAGGTTTTTCATGATGATCTAACTTTAATTGACTCATGATCTCAGCTATTAAAATTACTATAATATCCACAAAAACCCCATCTGATATTAATTAGCATATACTCACTAATGATTGTCTCCAAGAGGTAGTCCCTAGAGTTCTAGTGAGAAACAGTGACCAGTGGATTTTAACCGAGTGTTGGATGTGTCAATGTTGGGTGTGTCGTTCAATTTTGTATATTAGTTGAAGTTAAACATTAACATTGTTGGATGCTAACCGGCTCAGTGGTCTAGTGGTTAACAGTTCGTTTTCGTATGAGACTGATAGATCTTAGATTTGAATCTCACAAGACAGAATTGTGGATACACACTATTGAGAAGTTTCATACTAGAACAATAACAATCATCCAATACTTTCAAATCTCCTATAATGATTTAGCTCATGAATTCAATTCTTAAAATAAATCAATAAATCTTGTTTAAATTCATCAAGATCAAGGTCAAACAAGATGTCATCCCCTCCACCTTTCCACCCCTTCAACAATTCCATTTTAATGATTAAAAAAAATATTGATTTAAATGTTTAAATCGTTGATGACAAATTTGAAATTTAAAATTAATTTATTGATTATCGATTATCGATTTTTTTTCTCTTTTTTTTCTTTTTCTTTTCTTCATTATTCATTGAAATATTTATAGAAGAACGTCCATTTGTATGTATTATATGTGATAAACGATTTTCAACTAAGGGTAATTTAAAAACTCATTTAGGAGTAAGTTATTTTATTGTTTTATTATTTAATTATTTTTATGTATCATTTAATGATTGATTTATTTATTAACGTTTATTACTTTCTCATTGGAAGAATATAAACCATTGATCAGTATTTTGGATCTTGAATAAGTCGAGACTTTAATTTATGGACGAGTCAATCCGAGGAGTTTGAGAGATTTCAAGGTCCCAGCGCCAACTTCAATACTTAATACTAATGTACGATCGGTTCACAGGGAATTTTGTACAAAACGTGATAATTAAGCAGCTATAACAAATACAACGGCAAGACTATCATTTGTGGACGAATCAATCAGGTATAAGATAATAGATCTCGGATTTGAACGCGAAAGCCTTTCATCCATTTGGCTAAACAGGGTTTTGGCATTACAGCTGATGTCAGTTCGTGATGAAAACCCCATATATATAGTTCCTAACTGAAGCAAATTATGACAACTATTGCGAACTGGATAATAAAAGCACCAGTAACACTGGCTGCACTCAGGTACTACAATATATACGGATGTTTGGAAAGCGTACAGACTCCTATATAGGCTTGGTTATATGCAACGTGTCGTTATCCACAAGTAGCATTTTGTGCACTCAACAATCGGAGTGCACATAAACAATATTGAAGCTGTGTGGTCGAGGCTGGGAGAGTATTTGATACTCTATCATGACTCCAGAGGTCGACTATTCTGGATGATCTTCTCTACTGCATGCATTACGATTTTAGAACCTCTGAACCTCTTTCTAACCTTGACAAGTTTTTGAACCACGTATACGAAGTGTATCCACTTTATTTTCTTGGTTTTGTATAACATAGTTTTACTCCATTCCGACTGTTTGCTGATTAGGTTATATTTGTCAACGTTACTTAAGATTCATTCAAAGGTCGTCCATAAATTAGAGTCTCGCCCCTGGACAATCCTTTCCAGTTGTTATTCATCTTTATCATGTTTGATTCCGATTTCCAACTTAATGTGTTCATTGGTTTTCGGTATTTACATTTCCTTTCAGGATTACAAGTTAAGGCTTGACTCATGATATAGTTTTGGTAAATTCCATAATGTATATCTTATCCACTTTCAACATGTTTTCCTAATTTTCTCTTCCGTTGGAAGTTGATTTATTCTCCCCTACAGTAGGTTGGTGTAAATTAATTATGACTAGAATATTAGATGATTGAACTTATGAATCGATTTAAGCTAGATCACCATGGGAAACTTAGACTGTCGTTTCGTCCTATTGTGGGATTCCTCAGCATTATGGATCCACGATCTCGAACACACGATTCGGATCTAGGACCTCTGGTTTTATAGGCGAACACTTAGACTCTAGACCACTGAGTCAACATCCGACGGAATCCCATACTGAGATGAGATGGCTATCCAGTGCTTCCAGCTTTTCCAAGGTGATCTACCTTAAATCGATTCATGAATTCAACCATTAAATTACTACAATTTTAAAAAACTCTCATTCTGACAATAATCATTAGAAATGTAAACCACCATTGTAAACCTGGAAACATTGAATGGCCGTTTCATTCAAGTATAAAATATGATTGCACAAGTTCGTGGATTGGTTGAAGTTAGACATTAACACCATTGAATGTCGGTTCAATAATTTAAAGGTTAAGCGTTCACGTGTGAGACCGAAGTTCCTGAGTTCGAGTCTCGGACCTTCCAGTGCTTTCAGATTTTCAATCATGATTTAACATTGATTGATGCATAATCTCAATCAACTTCTCAACAATCTCCATAATCCCGTACTGATAATGGAATCTTAATCATACATTACACATTATCCAACTTCAGTCAATTCATATTTATAATGTGATGTTGACGAAACTATAATTTATGGACGAAGCAATCAGATATAAGATAACAGGTCTTGAATTTTGGTGCGAAATTCACCCATTCATTTGGATAAATAGAGTTTTGACATTATAGTCCATGATGAAAACCCGAAATCTAATTCCTAAGCCTAATCATCAACTGTAAATTTTAATTCTAATTCCTCACACTTGTTTTATAACTCTCATCTACTTATATGTGTAATTAAGTAGATTTGATATCATTTTTTTTCTTGTCTCTTTTATGTAAAATTTTTAGCAACATCATGAAACAATAGAAGCATATCGTACAGCAGTTGCTATAGCAATGGCAACTGGTACTGCATTACCACGACCTCCACCAATGTCATCTACTACTGTTACAGTTCCACTTTCAAATTCTATTCCAATACCTCAAGTGATTAGTTCAATATCTTTATCAAATCATACATCAACTATATCGTCCTCTTCTACCTTATCTCCTTCATCCACAATTTCAACTTCTTCATCTTCATTTAATAAACTATCAAAACATTCACCAATTAACCCGTCAACATCTCAACCAATTTATGTGGATGATTCGAAGTTGAATAATAATAATAATAATAACAATGAATTACAGTTCACTTCAAATACATTCTCGTTACCATGGTTACCACCTACAAGTCAACAATCCTTAGCTCTATTGAATTCTAATTGTTCCGTAGGAAATTTTCAAAAACGAATGGATTCCAATTATTCATATGATTTAATGTTATATGATAAAGGTAAAGAGAATTATCGAATGAATACTACTACTACTACTACTACTACTAATACTACTGATAATAATCATAGTCACTTATCAATAAGCAATACAAATCAATTATTACAACATTATAATACACATAATCGTAATCAGTTTGAATCTATGAAATTCACAACCAATTATACTGAATTATCGAAATGTATCGATTCTAGTAACGATAATAATAATAATAACGATCCAATCAATATGAATAACAATGACGATGATGATGATGATGATGAGAATGAAGTTGATATTACTGTTGGAATTGATTCTGGTACTTGTGAATCTGTGATCATTGTTGATGACAATGAGAAACAATATCATCGAAATAATGAACAACATTTATCAAGGAATTGTATTGTTGAATATAAATCAACAACTCCATCACCATCATCATCGTCATCATCATCATCGTCATTATCATCATCACCATCATTATTTCCTTTATCCATGATTTCTATTACTACGACTACTACAACTACAACTATAACTACTACTAGTACTACTAATAGTAGTAATAGTAGTAGTACAACAAATGAAACATTAATTCATAAAAAAGATTTCTATCTTGATTATACAACAAATAAATTTTTATCAGTTGCTAACTGTTTGTAAAAAAAAGAAAAGAAAAGAAAAGAAAAAGAAAAAAAGAAAAACAAACAGAGAGAACATTTTTTTTGCTTGATTTTTTTCATGTTTTTTGTTTTCTTTACTAACACTATTCTATTCTGTTCTATTCTTGTTTTCTTATTTATTTACTTGCTTGAATTCATAGTTTCTTCTTAATTGTTCAACTATATTGATATAAATTATAATAATATATTTCATTAAATATTGTCACCACCCCTTCCCCTTTCAATGTGGGGGGTGAGGTGAAAGAGGTAGAACTGTAAACATTTCATTTTAATATTGTCATCAACCTCCCCTTTCGGTGTAGGGGTGGGGTGAAGTAGGTAGAACTGTAAACATTTCAGTTTAATATTATCACCATCCTCCCCTTTCAGTGTATGTGTGTGTGGGTGCGGGGGTGGTGGTGGTGAAGGAACGTGGTTAAACTGTAAACATTTCATTTTAATAAGGGAATTTTGTAATTCTCCTGTAATTACAGTATTGATAATTGAATTTATTGATTATTTTTGTCAATGATAATAATGATGGAAACATTATTAGTCATGGTTACTAAATTTTGGTATTCCCCCCTTTTTTTTCTCTTTTTTTTTGAAAAATAGAATCTATGTAAAGAGTATAATGTAGAATTATAATTATTTAGAGAAATTAAAATAACATTTTGAATTTAATATTGAATTGTTTTTCTTCTGTTACTGAAAAAAAACCTCCAGTATTCTGTGTGTTTTTTTAGGGTTCGGTCGGTTGGGGGAGGTGGGGGAAATGTTATATTTGATATTTGAATGATTGAAACTGATTATGTGTTATCTTCTTATAAACTGTTAGTTACCATCTGAGATGATTGTTAATTGGAATTATAGCTTATTGATGACCAGATCAAGTTTGATGGAGTTTTGTTCTCTAAGCTGGATGGTTAAGTTGTGAAGCTTTCATCGTTCTTCTGAACTACATCGTCAGCACAAACTTTAGGGTAGAAGTGAAGTTTTGTTCTCTGAGCTTGGTGATATGTTCGTGTTCAAATTCGAACATTTCACTTCTACCTGAAGTTTGTGGTGATGATGTCGTACAGAATAATGATGAAAATTCCACGACCAAACCATTCAGCTCAGAGAAAAAAACTCAATCAAAATTACTCATCTGAGCTATAATCCCTCTCCACCATCTCAAGACCAGATTAATGACGGGTAAATTAGTACAAGTAATCTAAAGTTAACTTTGAGTTCTTATTGTACTATCAAGATAGTAGCATTACTCCTAAGTCAACCGGTTTAGTCCAGATCATCAATATTAGCCTCTGTTATCCGAATCATATATTCTAAATATACACAGTTTATATACAGACCACATCATACCATAAAATAGAAACACAACAATTATACAAGATCAAGCCAAAAAATGGTTGTGATTATGAGAGACTGTTACTAATAAATTGGGAATATCTTAAGAATAGTAAGTCATAGAATACTAATCCATATATCAAATGGAAGTTTATAATGAAAGGAATATGAATATACATATAATATAGTTACTCAATAGTCATACAATAAGATTATATATGATAATGACAGTCCATAAATAAATCCTATCGGTTACTATCCACTTATCCTTCATTCGAATATAACAGATTGACCAATTACTTCTTAAAAGTCTATAGAAATCATCTATAGCTGAGCTCAAAACACAGAATAAAAGAAAATAAGTATCCAAAAGAAGCTTCATTTTCAAAGTTAGTATAAATACAAAAAAAATGTTTATAGACCTGTATAAGACGATGATGGATATTCTAAAAGCTTCGAGGTGGGTTCACCCTCCCTCTCGAAATACTCTCACATGGCCGCGCGTATACAGCCTCTGCCAGGGAAGTCCTACTCACTGCCTTCTCGTGGCGGGGGTGTTGTTTACGAAATTGAGAGGACGAAAAGAGAATGTCCGACGCTTTAACCGGATTCCAAACCAATGGTACACATGGGCACCAGTATCCTGCGGGAACAAATGGCGTATGAACCAATTTTCGGTCACCGGCTACCATGGGACTGCATCTCCTTACGCTGCTCCACTGCCTTGTGGGTTAGACCTCTAGGTCAAAGGCTCGGTGTGTGGCCCCCTAAGATAACCACCTGCATTGGTCTGGGCACCCGGGCAGTATCGCAGCCCACATGCAATTAATGAACTGAAATTGTGTGGCGCATATATGTTTGGCGCACTCCTGTACCAATATATATGTGTTAAAATAAAATAAAATAAAAGCTTCGAGAAATATACTAAAATGAATGTCAAGATTGAGAATTATTGAACTTAGGTACAATATGTAATCTGTTGTTTTTCTGATACTCTCTTGAAAGTCTTTTCCTTACTTACTTACTCACATATGCCTGTTACTCCTCGTGGAGGAGCATAGGCTGCTGACCAGCACTTTCCATCCAATCTTGTTCTGGGCTATCGTTTTCAGTTGTTATTCATCCTTTTTTATATCTGCTTCTATTATTCGATGTAATGTGTTCTTTGGCATTAAAATCTGAACCTAGATTTTGTACTATTTGACACTCGTCAACAAGATGTACCTATAATCTTGATGGAACTGATACTCTTTGATGGATTCAATCTCATATCACTTAACTTCACAGTCAGAACTGTTACCATTGAACTATTCGAGCTATCTCTATTGCATATGAATTGATTAGATGATTTATTTTCAGTTTTTTTTTAATCAACTCCTGATGACTTCATGATCATATTTAAGGCATCATTAATAATCTATGATCATTAAATGATTATTCTATCCTGATATGATGGAAAGAAAAGTCCATTTTCGATTGATTTACTCATTATGAGTTTTGGTTCAACATTCAACATCCGTTTTGATTCAACATGGGGATCATTCAGTGTAGTATTTGATTGTATTTTCCCAGTATGATATTTTCTTCTGTATAATATACGAGATATTCTTGTATTCAGTTGACATGAACTATGCTCACTAAGTGATTAGTTATAACTGAGTATGTGATCTAATCCTAATTATGAATCAAAAATGAGTGTACAATCAATATAGAAACCAGTGTATTTTAGACGAGATTCGATTCGTCGTCGTCGTTATAGTGTTTTGGGGAGCTAATAAATCTTCACTTATACCAGTCTTTGTATTCTTACTTTCGCATTGTGGGGCATTGCCAAGATCCCTCGTTTCGAGTATAAGTGATCAGCGTTTTTGTTTTTTTTGTGGCACAACAATAATTTCATCATGAATAAGTTGGTTAGCGTTTTTTTTAGCGAGTTAGTTTTCTACGAGATCGAGACGCTAATCCCATGCCCAACCCTCCACCTTTATCCGGGCTTGAGACTGGCAGTAGCCCTCGGAGGGACTCCAGGCGGAGTTTCAATAATTTCAAGTCTATGATATTTAATACCTTTTTCATTTACTTATATAAGAATAATTGACATTTCTTTATTATTTCATTCAATTTATTCTATTCTATTCTAATCAACTTTATGTCCTTTATAACACTTTGATATTATATACCGAAAAAAAAATAAATTCAAAACAAAAAAAAGAAGAAAAGAAAAAAAGAAAAAAGAAGAAAAGAAAAAGAAAAAGAAAAGAAGATCAAATGTAAATTCATATGAATATTAATTATATATATTTAAGTATATGTAGATACAAAAAGAGAAAGGGGGGAGGGCGAGAGGGGGAGGGCGAGAGAGAGAGAGAGAAAACTCGTTTCAAAAAGTAATTTTTATTTTATTAAAATAAGGTTATCATGATCATAATGAGTAGTTTGTTATCCTTTTGGTGTTGTTGTTGTGCTCGTTGTTGTTGTTGTTGTTTTGTTTAAATGAACTGATGATCATTAAATGTTCAACATTATTAGATATAGAATTTTAATATTTAAATTTAATAGTATTATAGAATTGTAATTTGTGTGTGTGTGTGTGTGTTACTACAATGTAATGTACTTAGAGATTAGCATAATATTAAAATAACTATAGGTTAGATATATTATTCATCTTCTGTATCCTAAGTAACAAACTATCTTTAGACATTAACACTGTTGGATGCCAACTGGCTCAGTGGTCTAGTTGGTTAAGCGCTTGGCGCGAGACTGATAGGCCCTGGGTTTGAATCTCGTGGGGGGGGGGTTAAGGGACCGTGGATGAGCACTGCTGAGGAGTCCAACAATAGGATGAAACGGCCGTCCAGTGCTTCCAGGTTTTCGATAGTGGTCTAACTTCAAGTGACTCATGATTTCAACTGTTGAAATTACTATAATCTCCATGAAACTCCTTCTGATATTATAGAATTGTAATTCTTTTATGTATTATACAGTGTAATGTACTTAGATATTAGCATAATATTAAAATAACTATAGGTTAGATATATTATTCATCTTCTGTAGCCTAAGTAACAAACCATCGTTATTTTTTAAACAATTTCCCTATTTAAAACAAAGATGAATAGTGAATAGCAGTGGAATTTAGTTTGATGTGTGTTTCGTCCTATTTGGGACTCGTCAGCTGGATATACTTGCACCGAACAGTTGATAGTTTGGATTCTATTGTTAGCCACTATTTATCTTTGTTTAAAAATCTTGTGATTTAAGGCTATATCAAGGCAATCTGCACAGGATACATATATACCAATAAGAGACTGGTCAATTGCAGTTCTAAAACATCAATGGGAAGATTCAAGTAAAACAATATCAAGTGAATTAAACTTCACTTCATTGCACAAGCAAGTCGCTATCAGGACTCAGTAGCTAAGTGGATAACGCGATGGCGTTTGAAGCGAGTTCGAGTCCCAAAGTGAACATCAGCTCTGATTTGCAGGTACATCCAGCTGACGAGTCCCAAACAGGATGAAACGCGCGTCCTGCATTCCACTGCTAGCCATTATCCATCTTTGCTTATAACGCTTGTAAATTAGGGCGATATCGAGGCATACGCATAGTATGCACATATGCCAATAAGAGACTGATCAATTGCAGTTCTAAAAC